CCCCCCCCCCCCCACATACGCCTATGACAAGTCGATTGACAAGTCGGGCACAATGGGAAAAAGTAGGACACATTTCGTTCCGCCGTGCCCCCTAATTTGTTTTCTTCCCGTAAGCCTATGGTTTCTGCAACTCGATGAAACTCAAAATGTTTGATAATACTTACGATAAACGTTGTCTGCCATCCAATGGTGGTGTCAGATGAATTTTGCACGACTTGAAGTTCTGAGCGAGGCTCTGAGATCGACATTCTTTTTTGCGGTCGGGTAAAACACATTTGTTCATTAATCCTTCAAAATATGTACAAAGGGGGCAATGAAGAATTATCAAGATCTTAATTGTTGGCATCTCCCTCGAGTGAATAATAGTTAAAGTTGTTTCATCAACTTGCATCAAGTCTGTGGATATCAAATTTTTACAAGTCTGATAGAACAACTTGCAGCAAGTCTGATGAACGCATCAATGTTGATGCAAGTTTAGAAAATCAGACTTGCTGCAAATTGATATCTGCAAGCTTGCTGCACATTGTTCAAACAATTTGCAGCAAGCTTGAATTACCTTGAGCATAGCAAGTCTTGACAAGTCTGATAAGACAACTTGCAGCAAGTCTGTTACAGCTCGAACAGGCAAACCGAGGTCGCTTTTGCGCATTTTTAATGTTTTCAGTAAGCCAAAAGCAATCACCAGCGGGTTATTTGGACCTAGATGGCCAGATTTTTTCAGATTTTTCAGATTTTTAATGATTTGCAATATATACAAAAAAAAAAGAATCAAGAACGTACGAACATTATTTTTTTACAAAAATAGTTAAAATTACTTATTATAATAGAATAAATGATGACTTGGTTAAATTATGCCCAGTAGTCAAAGTATAGCAAGAAGCTTTCGAGTTGACTACTGTCTATGTGAGATTTTTTCAGTGTATTTGAGCTAAGAATATTAGAGAAAAAAAACACACACAAAATATTAGAAGGGATAATGATGTACGCAGATCCATAGACCATACTAGGAATATGCAAATAGAAATACAAATTAGAATCGTGCTCAGATGAAATCACCACAGATGTTCATAGATATCAAAAACACTAATTTTCTTTGAAAAAAAAAAAGATTTAATTGAAAAATACAGTGTTCTTTTCACCAATCGGAGCTAATCGTCGTTCTGCTTACTTAGTAAATACAACATATACTTTCGTTTAAAAGTCTTAAAACGGAGATGCTTCATGTGATAAGGTATAGTAATATAATTAGTTCTTACTTGAGGTCTACAGAAATTTAGTTTAGATGCAAGTGTTGTGTTGTAATTATGTAGTAAGTGAACATGATTGAGAAAGTCAGAGAATGTCACTGGAACGTTGGAATCGTGATCACTAAATTTAGATGCAAAAATTGCAGTTTTTAGTTTGATAATATTTAATTTCTAGCTTAAGGACTCCGAGGATATTATAGTAAAGATTTATATTTTCCCTGCTATCTACAAAAAAGATGCATCGAATGCATCTATTTTGCTTGGTAGAAATTTTTGTTAATTTGCTTTTGTAAGTATTTCCCCAGCTTGTAGCAGCATAATTCAAATATGGATAGACCAATGTATAATATAGATGCTTTAATATTTTTAAGTTTATGTAACCCCACAATTTGTACAAAATTCCTAATTCTTTGAAATTTTGCTATTAATATGTTTTATTTGATTTTCCCAGTTTAAATGGTCATCAATAAATACACCCAAGTATTTAACA